GATGAAAGTAATATGGCATGTGCTGATGAATGGGCGTTTATTTGACTGAATGAAATATACCATATCGGGTGTATCTTAACAGTTAAGTTAAGCCAGGAAAGGTTGATAGGTGGGTGAGGGGAAACTACATACTCCACGTTCTGCCATGGTCACTGGGAGGGACAAAATGTCCTTTCGAGCTATACTCTTATAGGTAACAGATTTAATGAAGAATTAAATCATTAGCTTATGAGTCGGGTAATCCGGAGAGTATAACTTACTAACAATAGTAATAGTAATATATGTATTAGGATGCCACATTTGATATAAGTAAGGATTACAATAGTTATTTACATCTCAATCTTATATATATCCAACAACTTAAGATTGGTTTGGAAAAATCTTGCTTAATTTAGATGCTATACATCTGCACATGACTTAAAGTTGCACATCTACACTCATGTAGGAAAAAGAAAGGAACTTATGTCAAACAATAAAAAGAGAAAAGAAAAAATAATAATTACATTAGGAAAAAAGTAAGCATGGAAGAAAATGTAATGTCGTACGAAAAATAGAATACAAAATTTTATCCATGATAGTTTTTGTTGTGTAATGTACAAAAGTCAATCATTGAATAAAAATAAAATTTTATGTGCTGTACTTTTTAATAACATGAGCATTATTTGTTGTGATTAATTGCATAAAAGAGATTTAATTCTATTGATTAAACCGAAGTGTTTACCGTGCTCCTATGTTACATGATTAATTCTTAGTTATGATGATTGATATACATGTTTGTGATTAATAGCATCAAATATACTTTATCCTATTGGTTGAACACGTTTTTTTTATAAGGGTGATATAAGTTTCATTATTGTGAGTGATTAAGGTACTACCTAAGAGATTCAAACCTGGACCTCCAGGTTCTAGTCTAGTGGTGTTACCACTTGAAATGATGATAGTTTGAACTTATAGGTTATCGGTTCAAATCTTGGTCATGATTATTGATATACATATTTATTTAGTTTTATTTTAATGTAGTTAATAACTTAAAAATGTTAAATGATAACAAAGAAATGAAAAATTGTGGAGCTTTCTTTGTCCTATATGGCAAAACTTTCTCCAAAACATCCATCATATAAGTTAAAATAAGAAGATATCTGAAGACAATCTCCCTACTATCTACATTCATGTTTAAATAAAATACAAAATTATACATAAAATAAAAAGTCCTCATATTTTAATATAATATTTCACAACGTCCCAACAATCTACACAATAAATAAAAGCCAAATGAGAAAACTTGAAACCCCATTTCAAATTTCCTGCCTCCAGAGTGAAAGTAGGAAGGACATTTTGGTCTTCACAATTACTTTTTTTATTCATTAAAAAGACACTTACTAGGATTCAAACCATGACCACTTTAAAAAAAAGCAAAGATCATAACCAATCACACTAAGTACATTTGTTGTATTTTTTTAAATTAAAATCATATAATCGCAGAGAGGAAAAAACCCTTCCCCCGTTTCAAATTCCCTGCTCTAGGAGCGTTTGTCAGAAGGGTAGAATAGGGAATGTCAATTTTTTTCTTTTTTCTCTGTGGAACGGGCCAACTTACCGTACACATGCAGATTTAAAAGGGTCCAGGAGTGTCAATTTTTTTCATTAAGTCCTTTTATTTCTCCGTGGTGGTAAAATATATATGAAAAGGCAAAAACAATACTTTTATTGCTAAAAAAAATTAACAATATTCCACTGCATGTTATGTCATGTTTTAAGCTGCCCCTGTCTTTGTGTCGTCTCCTGGATAGCCATGTTGGCAGGTTCTGGTGGGGTGTGGAAGGCGGACGTATCTGGATTCGGTGGATGTCCTGACGCAACATGTGCACCAGTAAGCATGATGGTGGCATGAGTTTTCGTCGATTTGAGCATTTCACTCAGGCCCTTCTGGCTAAGATTGGGTGGCAAATCCTGTAGGAGCTTGACTCGCTACTGGCCAAGGTCTATAAAGGTAAGTATTTTCCAAGGGGGGATTTCCTCACTGCTACGGGCAGATCACGCCCATCTTGGGGATGGCAGAGTATCTTGCATGGACGTCAGTTGCTCCTCCAATGTCTTTGTTGGCAGATTGGCGATGGTGAAACAACACCTTTGTTATCCTCGAATTGGATTCCGAGGCTTCACCCGGATGGTCTTGTGTATAACCCCCGTGTCCTTCCAGACGGGGCGGAGCCTAAGGTTGCCTCGGTGATTTTCCAGGGGGAAGGGAGGTGGTGTGACCTAAGTCTTAGTCAGTGGTTTCCTCCCGCTATCTGCCAAGCTATTAAGGCTATTCCCCTCCCTCGAGAGGCAGTTGCTGATAAATTTATTTGGCATGAGACCAGGGATGGGCTTTTTTCCAGTTAAGACGGCTTATCATCTTGCAGTCCGGTTAGATAAGCAAGGGGACAGATGGAGGTCGCTGGCCAGTTGGATGGATAGCCAGAGCTGGATTCGCTTATGGAATGCTGATTTGCCACCCAAACTTAAAGTATTTTTGTGGCAGCTTTTCCATCGGCTCCTCCCTACCACGGAAGCCTTAATTGAGAAGAAGATTCAGGTGTTGCCGCGATGCCCGATGTGTTGGGTTGAGAAAGAAACTTTGGAGCATTTGTTCCTGGATTGCCAGTTGCTTGGGCTCTTTGGGAGCATTCTGGTTTGGAAGATCTTGGTCAGGGCTTACCACGTTATACCTTCTTGTTATTCCTCAAAAAGTTGATGGCTTTGATCCATCATCCTCAGATGGTCATGGCGGTGGTGGCCGTCCTTTGGTGTATATGGCGCTCCCGTAATTGGGTTGTCTTTGAAGGCAAACAATATGGGATCCAAGCCTTGATGAGGCAATTCAATCAGCAATTCCCGTAGTGGATTAATTTGCAAAAGATCAAGGAGTGCCCCAGCCTATCTCACGCTTGGCGGAGGGAGGGACGGAGAGTGCTCAGGTTTCAATCACCTGTATGTGGGATGGAGCGACGTTGGTGGCTCTCATTCGGCCGGGGGTATAGTTCTATTTGACTCTCAGGGGCGTATCCTTCTTGCCCGAGGGGTACATTTCCCTCATATTGATGATCCCATGACGGCTGAGTTGATTACTCTGCGGGAAGGCGTGCGGTGGTGCCTAGAGTTGTGGTTCACTGAGGCTTGTTTTTAGGGGGACGCGAGTGTGGTCATTGATAAAGTTAATAAACGTGACTCATGTGACAATCATTTGGGGGCCATTCTCGAGGAGGGTCATCCAAATACTCGGTGCATTCAACTCTCAATGTTCGTTTTGTAGGACGGCGTAGCAATAGGGTAGCCCATTTGGTGGCTAGAAAGACCCTCTCTTTGTACCTGACTACATGTCGATCTTTTAATTTTCTAGCCTGGTTGAATTCCAGGATGTAATGATCTTTTATTGAATCAATATGATTATCTTTTGTCAAAAAAAAAAAACACAATAAACTAATGCATGGATTCTAATGGGCTAACTGCTAATCATAAAATAAAAGAGTTGAATGGGCCTGACCTACACGAGATTTGCCCATCAAGTAAAACAAATGAACATCATGGGTTTGTCATTATAAAACAAGCTATTTTCTCTTACTATTATTTTATATCTTAGCGGCTAAAATATAATGTATTTTAAAGTTATTCAATGGTTCAACCTCGACCAATCCAATTAGTCCAATTTTTATCATTTCAAATATATATTATGTAATTATTTGATATCATAATGATTAAATTATAGTGTATATTATAGGGAATCGTTTGGTATTTGTTAGTAAAAAACTAAACAGAAAGATCTATTTGGTTATTTTTAACATTAAAACGATCCTAAACATTTTCAGTTTCCTTTCGAAATTCTATAGTTTTATTCCCGAATCAGTGATGTGCAAATAGCGAATTGCAGTCATCTCTTTTCTTTCATTATTTTTTATTTTCAAATAGAAAGTTTAAAAGTAAAGAATAATTAGAGTTTGACATGGGTCGGTCAAACATGCTGAATTTCAAGTTTTGGCCCGTTTTGATCAAGTCTAATTTATAATCACATGGTTTCCTGATACCCGATAAAAATCTCAATCCAAACCAGTTTGGCAGGTGAGTCCGTGTTTACCACCATTTTCTAGTGATACAGGAACGGTGGTTCCTATTCCAAATCGTGTTGTTCATTCTTGATTTCTTTAGATTTTATCATGGTTTGGCAAAAAACCAGAAAGCACAATGATGACAAGATGAAAGTTTTATAAAGCAAATTAATCGGCCAACGGGCCGAGTAAAAGCTAGCAACAATTGTGAGATGCTCATTTCCCGAAAACCGGCGGGATAGGCGATTTTTTATTCGATTTTCTGGAATTCGGTTTCTATAAAACTTACTCCACCTCATCATATTACCAGAAATAATATTGTTTCACAAGTACTAGGTACTTGATTTTGGTTAATAAGGCTGATTTTTGATTCGTTGTATCATTCGTGTCTCTTTCCTACTAAAATTCACTATTTTTATCATGTGTTTCCCAAAAGAAAACTACACAACAATAAGCTATACACCCCATTACATTATCAAATTTCATACCTCACCTTCCTCCGGCCAAATGGTCGGGGCCACGCTAATTATATTTAAATCCAATACATAACATCAATATTCATATTTAAGTACACACTTTTCTAGAATTTAATAAAAGGGTAAATAAATAAGTCTTTTGTTTAGTGATGAGAAATCGATCATACTGGTTAAACCACTGATTTCCCCGGTAATGACTGGTTTTCATTGATATTTGAACCGGTTGAACCGGTTGTACTGGCCGGCATACCACCGGTTTAACAACTATGATTCTGACCCATCCGAATTACCCAAGGGTCAAAAAATAGACCAGCATTTCCATTCGTCTCTTCCTCACGAGTCGCGACTGGTAAGCGGCAAGCCCATGCAATTTTCCCGTCGTCTTCCAATCCGCCTCCGTCGTGCCGGCGATTTTCATCACCTCCTCGATAGTTAAAACTTAAAACCCATACAACACCAACCCTTTGACTTCCCGCCGTCCGGCGAGGATTCCCCCGCCTCCTCCCTCTACTCTCGCTCCTCTGTGGCGAACCCTAGCTTTAGACCTGAGGGACTTATTGCGGAGGCAAAGGAAAATCAACGAGGGAGTTTGGTCCGTCATCGGCTGTCGACCTCTGATCTCATCGTCGTCTTGAGTTCGGGCCTTGCACATCATCTTCGTGGACTCTTCCACTAGCTCGGACCTCCGATCCCTCATCGCTAATTGCATCTCCTCCTATTTCCTTCTTGGACTGACTCTCTGCCCCGTCGGGAACTTCTCAAACAGCTAGATAATGGGCATGGCTTGAATGGTATAATCTAGCTCTAGAATATTTTTCCTTTGCCTCCGAGTTTCACTGCCTTCTAGCCATGCCGTCTTCGTCTGTGAAATGGTGGTTTCGTTTTTACCTTGAATTGCAATCTTAAAATGATGGTTTCGTTTAAAATTTTTGGCTCTCTCTATTATCTATTCGAGTAGCTAATCGAAAAGCTGGAGATCCTAATCTGCCCATCCTTCAATTCACTACTGTTTCTTCAGCGCTTCTTCCTCTGCAACACTTTTGCTTGGATACCAATATGGGCATTATTAACTTGCTGCTCACTGGGTGTTGTTTGTGTATGTATGAAGCAGATAACAAGCCATTGCTACTGTGAGTTTCCCACTGAGAGAACAAAAGTCAAAAGTTGCCTTGGAGCTTTGTCTGTCCTCCACTCCATTCAAATCATGTCCTGGACTCTGGAGCGGACTGGAATTTGAAGAAAACAATCAGGTAATAGATCTGCTTAACATGAAGAGATCCGCATTAGTGCTGTAGTTCAATTGTCTGTCAATGGCGTCTGTTGATTCAGCGGTAGTTTGTCTTCAAGTCCCAAAGCCGGTGGCTAGGGTTGGTTGTTTCGGTGGTGTTGCTCTACTGCTCTAGACTTAATTCTTGATACAGGAAGGGCGGCAGAGAAAATTTTCTTGGATTGATCCAAAAGACTTGGAGTTATGGAATGGATTGTGCTTTAAATTGGGTTTTTACGGTGGGGAAACTTAATCGTTAGTGGAGAACTCAATTTCTTGTTTTTCCTTCTGGTATGTCCACTTTCTAAGTCTAGAGAGAAATTTGTTTTCCAAGATTGTGTGGTTTCAAAGCCCATATTTTCGAGCCTTCCCAAGTTTCCTAAAACAATTATCAGTCATGTTGTTTACAATAGTAGTCACAACATGATGTCAATAGAAGCATCCATACGACAGTTATTTGTTTTTTCGCTTCAATTTGGTTCTTTCTGCTGTGTCATTGTGATTTAATTTATTCTACACATCCGTATATAAGGATTGATATGTTGTGTACATAACTGCTGCCGGCAGGGCCTCTCAGTTTCAGCTTGAACCCTATATCTATCATTCATACCGATAATCAGAAATCAACACAAAAGATCTAATCTATGTCTCATCTGGCAATTGAATCTGATGTTTTTCCTTCATCGAAAGACGATTACCAGATTATTTGACTACCATGACTAGTGATTGGGGTTGGATTGTTAGCATCTAGATATTTGTCAGTTTGCTTTTTGTACTAGTCTAAAATGAATCCATTTATTATATTAAAAACCCATTTGAGAAATATTCATGGACAAATCAGCTGCTCATGGTAAGGCAAACATGAGTTCGGAAGTTCCATGCTTTACTGGAAATATTCATAAAGTCATTCCGAGTTCCATATGTGCAATGCAGCAATCTCCTTCTCCAGAGAAAGTTTGATATGAAAGCAATAAACAATTTGTGTATAAGATTTACTTAGCTGCTAACTGAAGAAGAACTAATCTATGCATCATCTGACTGGCATTATGTGTTCTGAAAGCTGTGTCTATTTTCTGGAGAATCAAGCTTTGACATGTTTTCCTTTCTCTTCTCGATTCTGCCTCTTATTCTATGTTTTTTTTTCTTTATTTATGATTTTGCTTTTTCTGCCACAGCTCAGTCCAAAATAGGAATCCAAATTGGAAGGGTTTCTGCTATTCCCAACATTCTCTGTAGATGACAGTGGTGATATGTTCATTTGCTAGGGCACAAGTGCTGTCCTTTTTGAAGTAAGGTAAGTAGGATGAAGCGTGATTTTGATGAAATCTCTGACGACGAATGGGTCAACCACTCCTTCAAACCCTCCCGTGTCCTGAAATCAACTCCATCCTCTAAATCTCCATCTGATCTTCCAAGCTCCCCTCCGCCAATAGAGTCTTTTGCTTTCGGCACCAAAACCCAGCAGCTGCTTGCGTCCGGTAGCAGCAGCAGTGATGATTGTGTCATCATTACCCAGCCCAAGCCCTCAATCCATGCAGACTTGGAGGATGATGACGTTGAACAACACAACGACCGCCCGGTTTCCTTGGGTAATCGTGCTCGTCGGTTTATCATTGACGACGATGACGACGAGCAGCCTGCGGCGCAGATGCTTCGAGAAGGTAATCGGGAACTTACTGAGGTTTATGATGTCAAGTCCTGTAGTGACGATGACTTAGAACTGGAACTGGAAGAAGACGCCGAGTTAGAACTGGAACTGGAAGACGACGACGTGATTGGAAAAGCTCTGCAGAAGTGTGCCAAAATTGCAGCTGAGCTTAGGAAAGACCTATATGGATCTACAGCAGTATGCTGTGATCGGTATGCAGAGGTTGATTCTTCTACCGTCAGGATTGTGACGCAGGTACTTCAATTAGTATTCTATCAGAAAGTTACTCAGAGTCGGTTTGGCCTGGATCTGCTATTTTTTCATGTCCTCAAATATTCGTGCGAGGTTCTAGTTATTCTACATGGTCCTGTTCTGCAATAAGACAACTCAATCTTCTTAGCTTGGTGCTGTTATCTTGCTTGAGTGGACATTGGACGTTGTCCACTATCTGAATTTCCATTCCTTGATCGTTATTGTATGAGAAGCTTAGAATTCTTAAGTGAGGAAGTTGAGACTGGGCAGGTGTAGTTTTGGAGTTTCGAAGGATGTTATTTGGTTGTCTAAGAATCAAGTCAAAAGACTAGATCATTCACTATATTCAAATTTGCTAATTTCTGAGAAAATATCAATTTTTTTACAGGAATTACACGCCACTAAGCCTAGTGATTTACTATTAGAACTTATATCTGATCTGTTCATCCATGCACTTTGTAAAATTTTCAGTAAGAGGCCACCCCTTCTTAGTTCAAGATTTTTATGCTGTTTTCATTTCGTTATGACAGGATGACGTTGATGCAGCTTGTATGGTTGAGGTTCCAGATTTCCAGCCTGTTCTCAAGCCATATCAACTGGTTGGTGTGAACTTTCTTCTTCTTTTATACAGAAGAAATATTGGTGGAGGTATTCAACAATCAACACTCATGATTGATGTGTTCATCCAATGTGGTTTTCGATTAAAATTTCTTTTCAATTCCATATTTGTTGTGACCAGACTCCAATAAAATGAAAATTGTGTGATTTAAACAGTTATTTCATTTCATTAGGGTGATAAATCAAGTGGGCATATATTTACCCCACCTCTGATTTGACCATGGGGTTTATGGCTGTGCGATATAATTCCACAAATATTGGTACAATGTTTCGTCAAGACTACTTTATTATGTTTGGCTGAGTTAGGCAATTAGACTTAATCTTTACTAGGAGAGGCAGCATAGACTTGGTTTTTGGATGAAATTATTCCAGCCGCAAGTAGCATTATGAATGGGTTGAAGGTTGTGAGGTTAGGAGTTGCTCTGTTAGTGACTTCGATATTGTCATCAATATTCCAAGTTACTCCGCCATGGGTTACATTAAATAGTTTCTTGAAGCATCTTGATGGCTTCCGAAACATTGTCATTCTTTGTGGTATGTACAAACTTGAATTCTTGATACTTTGTTTACCGTAAATGTTGCATTTTGGTTTAGTTGTTGTCATCTTTATGACATGCTTTAGAATAATAATACCACCGAGTAAGGAGTTGCAGATGGCTGTTCTTGACCATGGATCACATCTTGCTGAATCCTCCCGAAAGAAGATTGCTCTCAGTAGTTTTGGACCGTGAATGTTTTAGTACCTTGTTTGGGAGTCCCAAAGAACTTCTTTTGTGGGCCAGTTTTTCTTTATAGACGCTGGACAAATGATGTACATTACCCCTCATGCACTTATTTAAATTTTCTATATTGCATTACCTTTGATCTTCCATGTTTTTGAAAGATGTCAGCAACATATTGATTCTGAGTCGTGTTTGTCTTGGTTCCAATTCCATTGGGACACAGTATTTAGCTTTCTGGTCAAGTAATTTAATTCGTCAGATGCCAGTTTTGGATGGTGTTATTAGGTTCCGAAGTTTTACTCCTCAATTGCAATTTAAGTATGTCTTTGTCTCATCCACCACAACGTATCAATAAAGAAAGAAGAAGCCTAGTGTTTCATTTCATGATGATCATTGCATGTTTGTTGTTATACTCAGTTTTCTCTTTAATTTGTTTTAATATAGAAAATTGTATGCCATCTGTTGGCTTTCACTTATCATGAGTTATGCAATTCTCCCTATTTGTAAGTGTGTTTATGGAGTTAAATTGTTGCGTGCTCTCTGTTTCGTCTTTGGTTTGCAATCTATATCCATCATTTTGTTCTTTCTGCTTTTAGTGCTCTTTCAGTTTTCCATAAACATCAAAGTTGTCGTGTGTGGTGATGCAATGTGTAAATCCGGAAAATAAATTACCATTCACCAATTTTGTTATGTGCAGCAATATTGGCAGATGAGATGGGTCTTGGGAAGACTATACAGGTATATGTTGTCTATCTTGTGCTTTCTGTTGATACGACACTAGATAATCTATTCTTATTAAGTTGTGCATCTTTTTTTTTTTTTTTTTTTGCTACAGGCAATAACATATTTAATGCTGCTAAAACATTTGAATGATGATCCTGGTCCACATTTAATTGTGTGCCCTGCTTCTGTTTTGGAAAACTGGGAAAGAGAACTTAAAAGGTGGTGTCCATCATTCTCTGTACTCCAGTATCATGGGACTACAAGATCAGCCTACTCGAAAGAATTAAGCTCTCATGCCAAACATGGTCTGCCGCCACCATTTAATGTGATTCTTGCGTGCTACTCTCTTTTTGAGCGACACAGGTTTGTTCGATTCCAAAGGTCATTGTTTATGTAGGTTTTCACCTATCTCATTTGTTTTATGTATCATGATACAGTGTGCAACAGAAGGATGACCGTAAACTTCTGAAACGTTGGCGATGGAGTTGTGTTCTTATGGATGAGGCTCATGCTCTTAAGGATAAGAACAGCTATAGGTGGAAGAATCTGATGAGTGTTGCGAGAAATGCAAACCAACGATTGTTGCTAACAGGGACACCTCTGCAAAATGATCTGCATGTAAAGTGACGTCATCCTTTTCTTTTCATGCCTCCATTATGCAGAATTTGAAACAAGATTCAAGAATTTTGTTAGTTTCATCATTGTCTTTGAAGTAATCTAGAGTTGAAATTGTAATTCCTTGGAGTTCTTATCAGGATTATTTCTGTTATGTTTAGATTAGTGATTCTAGTCTAACCCTGAAAGATAAGACGTTCTAGTTTAGCTAGGTATTATTTGATCTATAAGTGAAGGAGTTACTAGACCGAAAGGACGAGTTCTCCGGCTCCAGTGGAATAAACAGCAATAGGCTGGTGCTTTTTTTGGGATTTATGAGCCTAGGTTGTGGCACCTACCGATCATACTACCAATCTGGTTAAATGGTTCTTCCCCTTTCAATCCCTGATGGCCTAATTCTATCTCAAACTTCTGGCACCCCTAAACCATGAGTTTCCTATGTTTGCAACTAATAACCAACCAGTTCAAAGCTATGAACCATAGGTTCTTGACTCGAACAAATTGTACTTCATATGCCACATGAGACTCTGTAGGAGCTTGCTGTATAACTTTGGTTTTCAGAAGATGACATCTGATGTTATGCCTCTTTATGAAAGTTGTTTTTTTTGTTTGCACTGACAAGGTGTGATTGCATGATTTATGATGCATGAGGTTTGTCCTTCTCTTGCCTATGTCATGCAATGGCCTGAGTCTGATGCTTTCTAGGAAATTGACGTGCTATTCTTCTGTTAAAAATTGACTTCATACTTAACCCTTATTATGAAGGACATTTCTTTCTTTGTTGTCTTTATGATGAATTACATGACCATATAGGTCACTTCATTAATCAGATGTGATTAGGCTTAACTTTGTCTTTGTGATCTTCCTGTTCGCTTCCTGGCTGGTATTTGCAGGAGCTTTGGTCCTTATTGGAGTTTATGTTACCTGATCTGTTCGCTACTGGGGATGTTGACTTAAAGAGGCTGTTGAATACAGAAGATGGAGATTTAATTGGTCGTATGAAGTCAATCATGGGGCCATTCATCTTGAGGAGGTTAAAGTCGGATGTAATGACGCAACTTGTTCCAAAGATACAGCAGGTAACTTTAAATGCTTTTTGAATTTTGGAGTCATTATTTTCCCATTTCCCAGCCACCTGCCCCCTCTTGTTATTGTAGTCTTGAAGAGCTGAACAATGTTTTCTCAGGTGAAATATGTTTCAATGGGAAAACAACAGGAAGATGCTTACAAAGAAGCAATAGAGGAATACCGTAAATTCTCACATTCTCATATTGCCAAATGCTCAGATGTTAACTTGACAACTGTCGTTGGGGTTCTTCCTCGACGGCAGATATCAAATTATTTTGTTCAGTTCAGAAAGGTGTTGTAAGCTTTTCCCTATTGGTTGGTTTAATTAATTCTCAATTCTTTTTCATTTTATGATTTCATTTTTGTAAAAAATAATAATGTTGCTGTATGCAGATTGCAAATCATCCATTGTTGGTGAGAAGAATTTACACTGATGAGGATGTTGTTCGGTTCGCAAAGAAGTTGCATCCAAGGGGCGCCTTTGGCTTTGAGTGTACCTTGGATAGAGTCGTCGAGGAACTTAAGAGCTACAATGATTATTCTATTCATCAGGTAACCTGAAATTGCTATTGGATCTAATTTTGAATCTTCGTATCTTTTCACCTGTCAGTTCACTGGACACCTTGCTATTTGCCACCTTTAGTATCCTTCTTTCTTTTGTTGTCATTGTGGTTTCAACTTTTCTTGTGATTGCAGTATGTCTCTTGGTTGTGTAAAACATTGCATTCATTCTAATTTCTAGGTATGTTGATTGCATTACCAATAGCTGTAGCTTCATGTAAGAATTTTTTGTTATCCTGATGCATATCTTAAGATGCGAGTATGGTGTTTTGGCGGACTGTTTTTGCTGCTGACATCAAACTGGGAACTTTGTAATGATTGGCCTAAACGTATGCCTCGTTCTTTCTCTTCATCTTTTCCCCCTTCTAAGATTCTTAATGATTATCGGTGGGGTTCTGGCAAACCGACTTATGAGGATTTTCTTTTTAACTCCCAACTAAATTTCATGAACGTGTTTCTCCCCGCAGCATATAGTTATACAATATCTTGCTAGATCAATCACTGCTACATTGCAGTGTAATGGGCATCCATAAGGTGTTTGAGTCCTCCAAAGAGGATCAGTTTTCAACAGCATAACAAACACGCTTGTTAAGAGTGACCCTTTTTTATGATGAATCTGATCTCACCTGAAATTTCTCCTGCAGCTTTTACTGTCTTATGGTGTTAGTGACTCCAAAGGAATCCTTTCAGAAAAGCATGTCATGCTTTCTGCAAAATGCCAAGTATGAACTCGGTTAAATTATAGAATTTCCTCAAGGTTATGTGAGAAACTTTAGATTGTTTCACCATTTGTTGATTTCGTTCTCTGATAACACTTTTTTTTTTTTATGATGCAGGCATTGGCTGAACTTCTTCCTTCCCTTCAGAAAGATGGGCATCGAGTGCTAGTTTTTAGTCAATGGACTTCAATATTAGACATCTTAGAGTGGACCTTGGATGTAATTGGGTTGACATATAGAAGACTTGATGGAAGGTATGTCATCTGAGCCATTGGTATTCTGGTTAGTTGGTGCCATTTATGGAGCCATATTACTGGACTGTTGGAATTAGATGGAGTTGTGAGAATTTCCATTCTATTTAGCATTTTCATTTCTGACAGTTGTAAGGAAGGGGAAATGAAACACTTGTTGCATGGTTATCTGCACGTATGCATTCAACTAAATTGTGATTGCTTCTCTTGGTGCTGGCAGTACGCAGGTGACAGATAGGCAGACGATTGTGGATGAATTTAATAATGATACGTCAATATCTGTGTGCTTGCTCTCCACTAGAGCTGGAGGGCAGGGTTTGAACTTGACTGGAGCCGATACAGTGATTATACACGACATGGATTTCAATCCACAGATTGATAGGCAGGCAGAGGATCGATGCCATCGCATTGGCCAGACAAAGCCTGTAACCATATACAGGTTTATTTCCCCCCCCTTATTGGTTCAGATTATATTCTTATGAGCATGGTTTAACATTCCCTTTCAATGGCAGGCTGGTGACAAAGGGTACAGTGGATGAGAATGTATACGAGATTGCGAAAAGGAAGCTGACTTTAGATGCTGCAGTTCTGGAGTCCGGGGTGGATGTAGAGCATCAGGGGGATTTGTCTGAGATGACTATGGGGGAGATATTGTCGTCACTTTTGAAAGCGTAGATTGCACATAGCAAAACATGCTCAACAGTCAACACTTCTGTTTGTGGGTGGGTATGCCCTTGGGGTCGCCATTTTATAGGCTAGACAAAAGAGATTTAGCATGTGCATCCTGACCATGAGAACTTGCTCGACTCCTGGCAGAATCTCCTCATCACGATGTTGTTGCGCCATCTTTTTTCATCATGTAAGGAAAGCACAATTCAAGTGGGTGACTATTTTGTTGTAAACCGTTTGCGAAGGGTAAGTTAGCCACCAACTGTTCCCAGGGAGGAAAAGGAACTGAAGAACATGGAGTCTGCAGGGAATGTGCGATCTATTAATACTGACAGCATAGGTTTCTCCCGATACTTGCAATACTTGTAACGTTGACTTGAAAGTCCATGTATATCGTAACGTTCTTGGAGCATTCTAAACATGAAACATCCCTGGGTAGGAAATGTTTTTCTTTTTAGTTATTTTTTTTTGGGATAAAAGAAAAGTTTTTTCTTAAAAATATTTTCAATAAATAACATTGATTTACAAAATATATCACAAAATCGGGCAGACTTTCTAGCCGAACAGAAATGACTCAAATGAGAATGTCTTTCAAATTGGATTTGTATATACAGATTGTACTCAACGAACTTGGGAAGAAGAGTAAGGAGTTTTTGGTTTGGACGATTGCCACGACATGGATGTTTGGCTGGCGGCCACATTGCTAGCACTATTGTAGACATTACTGCTATTAGCATACCCAGGCAGTACCCTACTGTTGCCATTGTCGTAGCTGTTGTTGTTGTTGTGATGGTGAATGCGCCTAGGCATCCCGGGAACATAATGTTGCTTGATAACAAGAAGGGAGGAATGCTCCGCGAATTCGGAGGCGAGCAACGTATCTCCGAGCACGCCGAGCTCCTCGCACTCGATCCACTCCGACAGTCCCAACATGATGGACGATGTCGTGTTTTTGCTCTGCCCTAGGATGTAGAGGTCGCAGGATGGTACGAGCCGCCCTATCGTTGTGATCACCTCCTCCCCTGTCGTCACCTGCTTCTCCATGTAGTTTATGTTTTCGTCGTGCATCGTCCTGAACCTAAACTCGTTCACATACTCGTCATCCAGCTCCCTCTCCTCTCCCTTGTTCTGCCTCGTGGTGGCGTCGGCTCCTCCTTCTTCATCTTCTTCTTCTGTCGGTCCTTCCAATTTTTCGTTCACATCGTCGTCGGTACGATCATCGTCGACGTGGAGGAGTCGTAAGACGGTGAGGTTGACGTTGGGAGATTTCGCCATCCTCCATCCGAAAGCGAGCGCCTCTCGGTCATCCGGTCCTCCGACGAAAATGACCGCGAACGACGAGTACTGCGGCTGGACCGCGGCCTTGTCCTTGGCGCCAAGGCCGCGGTCCACCAGTATCCCCACGGAGCACGTGGCGATCGCCATGAGGTTCCGATTCACAGTCCTCCAGTTCAAATTCTCCTCCTGCAGCCTCCCGTAGACATCGGCCTGCATGTGGAAAGGGACGAGGACGAGCATCACCCGCTTGTCCTCCCCCAAGCAGCTGATGTCCTCGTGCATCGTGGTGTACGGGGACACCACGGTGAGCGAATGAGCTGACACCGACGCGCCTCGATTCTCGAGGCTCTCGAACGCCGCGATGATGTGCTTCGACTCTTCCTCCCGACGGCTCAGGTTTTGCCCTCCTGAGCCGTCGAACATGCGATGGGAAGTACTGTTGTTGCTGTTGTTGTTGTCGTGGACGATGAGCATTGCGGTGGCGCGTCGCTCGGTGAGCTGGACTAAGTGGAGGGCGAAGACGCAGATCGGGTACTGCTTGCTGGCGTTGGAGGATTCGAGGAGGTTGATCATCCCGGACAGGTTGCGGGTCGAGTGGATGCACGTTAGGATCCTTAGCTCCGACTCCAGCTTGTTGCTCTCCACTGTTCTGAGCTGGAATTTGTTGGATCTCCTGCTCGACTTGTTTGCTGCTTTCGCCAAGGGCGTGACCGTTAGGGACATTACCAACATTGAGAGTATGAGCACCGCGAACATGGGTTGGTTGAACCCCTGGAAATTGATGGACATGATATATTGTTAATCAACGTACGATATGCAGGAACTTTTTTAACTATAGAACCGAACTAATTTCCTAACTTGGGTATAATTTCAAACTTTAGATAACTTGCATATCTAGATCGTTAAAGTATATTAAAATCGATTTAGACCATTGATTACCAAAACAGAGGGTAACCGGTTCTGCTGGTCATCATCACTTTCTGACTTTTTTCCAATTGTTACGTAAAATTCAAAAGTTACGGAACGGATAGTTATTTCTTATGTAAATGTTACTTCAGAAGAGTTATTTAGGTTCGTAGTGACTTAACACTTTACGTAACTCGATGTTAATATCATTATGGAACAAATAGTTATTTCTTACGTTAACAATCAAATCATAAGCATTACGTAAAGTTTCGGTAATACGGCTTACCACTTTATGTAGCGTGTGGTTAATATTCATTACGTAACATGATTCGGTACATGACCTTTCACAACTATTATGCAAGATAAAGAAAAATATCATGCAGTAATTACGTAATGCCTATTGTATTTTACGTTATGCAACTTGTGATGAAATCCCTAGCATAATAATGTAACCGATTACCTGTATGTTGCGGCCGGTGTTGATGACGATCAACGCCAGAACACCTTTCGTGTTCATGAGGACTCCGAGAGTGAAGGCTTCACGAGCACCCATCCCTGCAAGTTTGGAGAAGATGAAAGTGCTGACAATCTTCGACGACCATGCCGTGGCTATGAGAGGGAGGATGACATAGACCGGCGTTCCAAAATCCGGGTCGAGGAGGATTGGCACACTGGTTCGAACCCCGTTGACCATGAAAAACGCAGGGATCAACACCCCTTTCACGTAGTCCTCCAGCTTCTCCATCAGCTTCATGGCCACCTCCCCACTGGGGATGATCAGCCCGAACACGAATGCCCCGATCATCGAGTTCGCGCCACACGCATCCGTCACGATCGACGAGGTCATGATCCCGCTGAACACGGTGAAGTTGAGCAGCAGCGTGTTGTCGGCCTCATCGGCGTACCTGAGGATTCCGGTGACGTAACAAGAGTTATTTCTTACGTGACATTTCCATCAAAAAAATGTTACATAAGACTTCCGCAATGACACTTTAGAACTGTCACCCCCAGGTGACGCGCGTACCTGAGGACCCAGGTGACGGTAGGGCGGACGAGGAACCACTGCACGAGAACGAAAGTGAGCGTCGGGAGGAGGAACATCGGGTTCAAGGTGCCGTTGGTGAGAGTGAGCGCCACGACGAGGAGGATCCAAGAGGTGAGCTCGCTGACGATGGCGGACGACAGGGCCAGCCTGCCGATGTCGGTGTGGAGGAGCTTGATGTCGGAGAGGATCCTGGCCAGATCGGGGAAGCTGGTGACGGTGAGGGCGACTCCCCAGAAGATGGCTCCCGTCAGCCTGACGGGAGCCAGGTTCTCCCAGAACTCCTGGGAGAAGAAGTTCGGGTGGGCCGGGTCGGCGGCCATGAGGAAGAACTGGATGAACCCGACGAGGAGGGGGAGAACCATTCCGGTCAGACCGGTGTACACCGCCCGCCGTCCGACCACTTTGATCGCCGACAGGTCGATGTCGAGCCCGACCAGGAATACGTAGTAGATGAGGCTGAGGTGGCCCAGCGTGTCCAGCACCTTGATGCTGCTGATGGGGACGATGTAGATCGTGTACCATGGTTCGATCAGTGCCAGGCAACTATGGCCAACCAAAATCCCAGCCTGCATAGACATACACACAGTTTCATTCAATGTGATTAAAAAATAAAACATCGTACAAATCATCGAAGGGAGAAGAAACTTGTGTAAAAAATTAAAATGACGAAATGAAAAAAAAAAAAGATGGAGAATTACCAGCAATTCGACGGAGAAACGAGGGAGGCGCAAAGGTTTGAGGATGATGGAGAGAATGTGGATGACGAAGAGAATGAGAGCCAATTGGATGAAGAAATAAGGGACGTAATAGACGAAGGAAGGATCGTTGGGGTTTTTGGGCTTTGCGAGTTTCCAGAACACTGAATTGTTGTAGAAATTAATTGGAACGGACTCCATGTCGCATATGTTGATGACCCCGCCGGCCATGCCTTCGATGCTAACCCCTGGAAGGCCTTTCATTATTTTGCTTCTTTGAGGATGCCCTGAGATGTTCGCCATGATCTCCACCTGAAAAAAAAACGTTTTGATCAAATGCACAAGAAGAGGAGGACGACGACGACGAGCAGGCAGGGACGTCCTTTTAGCATCCCAAGTTCTACCAAAAATCAAGAAAAAGAGGATGGAGGAGGAGGAGGAACAGGTGATCGATCGATCATGTATAAAAGTATATGAGTTTGTAATTTTGATATTAGGGACGCCCAGTTTGGTACTAGAAAATGGATACCTAACAATAATTCTGGGTGAAAATTTTTAGTTTAAATGGATTCTATTTGTTACTTGCCCTTTTCAAAATTGTTTCAGCAAGCAGTTTATTTATTAGGTGGGCGGGTATAAATTTGTTTATTTATTTAGACAACATTTATATTTGGAATTTTTTTTTACAAGTTGTATATATTTTAGTTTTTGTTTTTCAAGAGTGTGGTACTTAATTTACCAGGAAAGAAAAGAATCTCTCATACCTTTATATTTTATTTATTTACAACAAGTTATATTTCATTCGTTAATGATCGTGGTACAAACTATTATTAAAATATTAACCTGCGAGTAACAAAAAAATCGGAGTCACTGTTCCTTGAGAAATTTTCGGAATTACTGTTTACAGTGGGGCATTAGCTGCCTGTGGTCGATTCTAACTGCACCCATGTATACCATCTTGGGCTAGCCAAGCATGGCCATTGATTAACATATTGGCAGGTCAATCATGACCGTTGGAATCTTGCCTTCCTTCTATCATTCATCTCTCCTCTATATCTATTCCCGTTCCCTCTGCCTCCATGTTCTTCTCCTCAATTTCAGATATTCTCTATCCTCTGGAACTCCTTTTTTCTCTCCTTGACTTTCCCATATCCCCTTCCGCAATCAATTAGCCATCAGCATCCATTCCCCTTCTGAGATAAAATCGACGAAAGCGTAGAGCCCCGACGATGGCGACGCCATTCTCCTCTCTTATCCTTGAGGGCATGAGGATTTTGATTTGGAATCAAGCAGAAAAGAACTACGAAGGTGAGTTTTTCCTCTTCCTACTTTTATTTTTCTTGATTTGCTGATGAGAAATTAAAAGGAGCAGAGGACAAAGTGAATCGATAGCATCACTTTTAGTTTAGGGCAAAATGGTGCAAACGATCCCTGCTCCCTTCACTTCTTCTTCTTCTCTGAGCATGTCGAATTCACTAACCTAGGCTTCCTCTTCCTCTGCTTGGCCATTCCAATTTCTTCTCTTTTCTACCCATTACAGATTCGATGATTTTATATCACCCAATTGCTGTTTTATATCTTTCCCTGAATTTGAGAGGGTTTCTGGAGTGTCAACGGTGCTCTTAAGGTTTCTAGAGAAGAAGAAGGTTAGGATGGAAAAATCTCGGGAGCTTGGCTTTAGGTATGACAATTCCTTACACTCCCTCTGACTCCCCATTTTTCTTCTTAGATTGAGAGAGATGGTGGTCTCCATTGTTATCAAGCTTTAGGTTTGTCAATTCCTTACATTCCTCTTGGTTCTTCATTCTTCTATACAGTTGGATTGGGTTACAGCATGTTGGAACGACTTCCAATTTTTAGTAGTCTCTTGGATGTATTTTGTGTGGCAGTGGTCCAAGAACAAGCAAAACATCAGAGAAGCGAATTGCATTTCCTGGGACTGGGAATCGGACATAGATGTGAATCATAATGGTCATGCTGTACACAATTTCAGTGATTGGTTTAGCAAGTTTATAATCTAATCATCCAAGAGCTTTTCACAAGAGCCTTCTCTATAACTCTATTGCTTTTACACTGAGTTACTTACGCTAAATGTGTTGGTCATCTAATGCTCTTTGCTGTTCGTGCATCAATGTCAATGACTAGCTAATTGGCTTGAAGAAGGATAGTAAATCTGCATGCTTAAACTTGGCCTGCAGTTCTTAAGGCTTGATTCAAAACAGTCAACCAATGAGGTTATTTATCTATGTGTTTATCTTTTTATGTTTTCTTATTGAATCTTCCTATTGCTTCTATTAGGTACATGCATGTACTTTTAAGTTTAAGATATATTGACCAGGGAGAATTTCGCTTCACTAGCAGCAAGGTGATGATGGATAAGTTGAAATTAGAGTTTTTTCTTCATTAGGTGATGATTTTATGTATGTTGTTTTAGAAGGATGAAGGAGTGCCACACTATTACATTCGAAGTTCTATCGCTGAGTGATGAGTTACTGGATACTAAAGACGTCAAACTCAATATGCAAACTGATTTCAAGGTTCATGTTTAAGACACTAAAGATGGTGATGCCTGTGATGTAGATTTAAACTATTAAATTGACAGACTCATCATTAAGATATTTGAAAAATGGCAGTTTGTAGTAGGCAGATCTTTTCCAAAGAGGAGTAGAAGTTAAATTGGTTTCCTCCGTAAATAATGCCGAGGACCGAGAATAAATGGTGGACAGGGCGGGCTCATGTGTTCCTGAAATTCTTGGTTGGGATAATGGGTTTGATGGAAATTAATGTTGAATAATTTAATGTTCTTTACCCTTCAATTCGAATTAGCAAAATGCAATGTCTTCTTGCATAATATAAATTCCAAACATTCATGATTTGAATATGAATGGGTCGAATTACTTTATCTCTCAGTCTATTAGTGAACTATCTTAGCATATGATTCCTATAGATGAAGTTTAGGGGAAAGATGGCCTCAACTTTATTGAAGTCATTTTCATAGGGCTCTCATTGAAATCTAAGTAGCTAATAAGTTGATGCATTTCTTGATAATATCATTCTCGTTGCAAAGCACGGGCTAATTATCTAGTAGCTATAATTACAGCAAACGCCATTTCGTTGTTTCTTTAGCTACCCAACATGCACTCTTGTTGCTGCTTCTTGGAACAAACAACGCACTGATACGATCATTTGTCGAAAGGATATGTAGCATACAATGAATCCAAAACCATCACTTGCCACGATCACGTTGTGCTACAACCCAGTACATGTAAATGGATAATCTCATGTATATCGAAAAGCCTCATCAGAATCAGTGGTAGGATATGACTTGAATTTGATTTGGGTTTATTTTGTGTTTTGAGCCTATTTTGTTTGGGTTTGTGTTTGGGCTTTGTTTGACCTTTTAATTGTATATTTGGAAAAGGTGTTTCGTTTTCTGTTTGGGATTAGGAAAAGAGTTCTATAAATACTCTTCAGCACCCTAATCTATAGTAAAGTCAGTCAGGTTAGTTCGTTTGATTTGTCTGTTCTGGAATTTGGGTTGTAACCTGTATTCTCCTCAAAATCAGTGAAACTTGTTCTCCCCTGCCCGTGGATTAGCTAGCGCACATTGTATTAGTGAACCACGTTAAATTTGTGTTCGTTTGTGTTGCTTTGGAATACCGATTGCACGCTTCTATTCTGACAATCGGCATTAACGTCTGTTGGAGGGGGAGAGGGGCAAATTTGGACTGCCAACACAAGGCACACATGTAGGCATTCAAAGAAACAATGTCATGTGTTATTGCTACCTCCATCACAGAGAATGCAAATTAGCGACAATGCAAATTAGCGAGTTAATCACATTCCGAAACCAGAGATTTATCTTTATTGCCATCACGTTCCTTGTGGTCCTCTGGCCATGTTCTAGTTCTTTCCACTGTCCCGAAGACACGTACGGTAGGCCGACCTGAATGAAATAAAACTCACAATTTCTTGGGGGGTGCCTACCCATGTATCATCAATAGTATTCCATCTGATAGGTATGCGTTTAATTGCTTCAACTTCTTCTAGCAAGAAGCTTTGTTCAATGAGCTCCAAATTCCACTAATTTTCATCATTAATAACCCATTCTAAAGCTCCTAGTTGTTATCTTTGATTGTGGTGTAGTCGAAAACCTGTGATGCCTAGAATCCAAGGGTCTTGCTTCTACCATTACCCATGTTTTCCCTGCCCCGAATTGAGGATTGTCTTAGCCTCGCAAATGCTAGACCAAATCTAGGAGAGATTTCTTCCCTTTCATGTACCCATAAAATCAGAGTTAGGAAAAAAAATCCCTTTAAGGAGTTTTAGCCATGTTTCATCTCCTCCCTTGAGAATTCTACACACCCTTCCTTTGCTAAGAGAGCTTAGTTGCATTGGTGGAATTTGGAAATCTATTGAATCCTATTCCCACTTAGCTTCTTGTTTTGCCACCGTAACAACACTCCCTTTTTGTCAATGTATTGTCTCTTCTCACGTTTTCCTCTCCGGAAGAAAGTTTTCATTCGAGAATCCATAGTTTTTAAACTATAGAATTCCTTTGAAACATTAAAAAAACAGAATGGACCTCACGTAAAAAAAAGTATAAATAGAAAAAAAAAACTTCAAAAAATCATTTCTTCTTTTTCTTATGTTATTCATTCTTTATTATTAATAAAAATGAATACTAAAAATATATATTATTATTAATATATAAATAATATATAAGAGATATTTTGATGTGATTTGAAACGCACTATCAACGGCCACGACTGGAAGTCACGAGGGTCTCATCTCCTTTGTAACCTGTTTCCTTTACCAGATTGGATTAGGTTTAGACTCACATGAAGAAGTATAAATACTTATCATCTCCTCTGTAATATGAAATCTCCTCGATATAATGAAACTAGCTCTCTCTTGCCCGTGGACTAGCTAACACACATTGTGTTAGTGAACCACGTAAATCGTGTGTCTGTTTTTGATTCTCGGTTTCGTATTCTTGCTTTCTCGATTCCGCCAATTTCCCAGTCCGTAGCAGCGCAGTTATAACAAGTGGTATCAGAGCCGCGGCTGGAAATCAGGCTAGGTTTTCGATTCTAAAGAATGACGTCAGTGAACATGAAGATCGAGAATTTCACGGGGAAGAACAGTTTCGCTATATGGCAGATCAGGTTGCAGGCTTTATTGAAACAACAAGGGTTGTGGGGGTCGCTGTCTGCGAAACAAAAGAAGGCAGCGGCCGATGCCGATGAGTGGAATACCCTGGAGGAGAAGGCCCACTCGACCATCATGCTATCATTGTCTGATGACGTCATCATTGAAGTCGCTGCTGAGAACGCCACGAGTTTGTGGTTAAAGCTGGAGAGTTTGTATATGACGAAGTCTTTAACCAACAAGCTGCATCTCAAGCAACGGTTGTTCAGCTTGAGGATGCAAGAAGGTACTCCTTTGAGGTAACATTTGGAACATCTTAATTCTATTTTGTTGGATTTACACAATATAGATGTGAAAGTTGATGATGAACTGACTTGTCTGGAACCTGACCAGTTCACGGTCTAGCGACCGTGACAATTGCATCCAAACTGTGACTTTGGGCAATTTTTTTCACTTTTTCGCGCTTTTCGATCTCCAATCGA